TTTTAAACGTGTTCACTTTATCTATACTTGAGATAGGTCATACTTGCCATGTTATGTCCGAGTGTGTGTCTGTATGTCAACATTCGCAGAGGATATATATGGTTGTATAAATAGCACATGCATGATTTGTTCAGTTTGATATATCTTCATTTGTTGATACTTGGACGACGTCAAATAAAAATGTATGTGTAGATAAGATAAAGATTGGGTTTGATATAAAATAAATGCAAAACAAAAACGAAAATGATGAGGACGTGACCGCAAAGTTTTTCGTTATTATAACATTCAAAAATTAATGCTATACATCATCGAATGTCATGTCCATGCAATGTTATAATCTTAAATCTAACCTGGCCTTGAGATGCCTTACAGGGTAGTGAACTAAATGCATACAGATAACACTTATCTCGGTTCGAGCGTTACGCCGGGACGCGATAAATCCATACAAACAATCGTACGCAATATGGATATTGTGTGATAGACAGGTATGCTCTGTATTATAAGTGAAAGTAGCTCTCAAACACTTTTCCAGTGATTGGTAACCATGGATAGCGGCTCGACCTCGGGACTACTGCAGTGTTCGTCTATGGACACAACCTGGAGCGACTGGATTCTTGACTCGAACTACAATAATGTCAACGAAGACGATTTGGCTGCAGAGATATCTAAACTGAACGATCTGGCATACCAGACGGACGATGAACACCTCGTCACTAGCGGCCAGGAGTCGGATATAGAGGTAACGTTAGCTGTAGATCATAACGTAGAAACAAGCGAACCAACATACGGAGTAACTATAGATACTGTTGACAAAGAACATACTAAACTTGATTCTGAGCTTTTTGGAGGCTATGTGAGTTCTGTTTTACAATATTCAGACGTCGACGTTGGTCAGTGCTCCCCGGTTAGCCAGGAAGATAGGGGTGACGACGCGCTCGTGCAAAACAATGAGGAGGTGGTTTCACCAAACGACAAGAGAAATCAGTCAGAGCCATCCTTACTCCCCCACATAGTCACCGTCCAGGGCGAGATAACTGTCCCCTCTCCAAATGTAACACCTCAGATAACCATCCAAGTCGATTCTCATGTTTCTCAGAACTCGTCGGACACTGGTATTGGTCTTTCAAATGAAGGCGGATATTCATTTCCATCAGCTGATGTTGAAATTGATGTTCAAACAAAAGAAAATGCGCCAGGAAGTAGAGGTAAGAGTCGTAAGGTAACTGTTGTCTGTGACAAACATGAAGATGTTATGGCGGTCAGTTACTGTAAGCTGTGTGATGGGTTAGTTTGTGAAAATTGTGTCATAAATCTGCACGTGGGGCACCAGGTTGAGCCAGTCGCGAACGCCATAGAGACGAAGAAACAGGAACTTGTCGAAATGCTTGATATCCTGACCGAGAACTACATCCCAAAGCTGCATCAACGCATCATCTCAAACACACACTTTAGAAAAAGGTATGAGGATCGCATTGACGAGTTAATGAACGAAGTCAAAACTAGAGAAACAAAACTTCAAAGTCTATTGCAAAACACCACGGCTGCCCATATTGCTACTCTGTCCAATCACAGAAAAGATCAGAAGGAAAAGTCCTGTAGGGTGGAGACAGAATGGGACGATCGACTAGTCCACATCCGAGACCTTGTTAAAGAGGGACACACTGTGTGTACCCCGGGCAAGGCTTTCCGCGTGGTCAAGGATCTGAGTTCTACACTGAAGTCTCTAGACGCCGCGCTCGGAGAACTACACGGAACCATACAGACGCCGGCATTGGCACGTAGCGACATATCGGAGGAAGTAGTGACCGATTTACTTGGAGCCCTCACCACGACTGAAGAGAGGAGCGTTGACCTACCACAACAGGAGAATCTCGAGCTCCACACCACGTTCAAATTTGCCAAGAATTCTATATGGGCGCTTGAGACGCACGGGGATGGATCTGCGTGGATCGCGGCGCACGAAGATTCCACGATTCGTCTAGTGACAAAGACCGGAGTTGTACTAAGGTGCGTCACCCTTTCGGCCAAGGTGTATGACATAACGGTCAACGCCGACGGAAATCTCTTGATTTCAACCGTCCATGATCACCATGTATGGCAGCTTTCCTCAAGCCGGGATATCAAACGATTCGTCAAGTTCAAGGACATGTATCCCTGTGGTATGTTTGCTTCGCCGAATGGTCACGTGTTTGTTGGGCTAGTAGGTGGGGGGCTTCGAGACAAACATGCAAACAGCAGACAATTCGTCGTCAAAATTTCGAGCACAGGCAACGTCTTGCAGAGATACGAGAAAGACGAGACAGGTAACGCTCTCTACTCCCTTCCTTACAGAATATGTGAGAACACAAATAACGATGTGTGTGTGGTGGACTGGACCGACCCCGCGGAGGCTCGACTTGTCGTTACTGACCAAACTGGTAAACTCAATTTCATTTACACCGGATTCAAGGAGGATGCACACGCATTCCGACCCGGTGGACTCACGTGCACACCCGCGGGTATGATTTTGATATGTGACATATACAAGGATTTCATTCACGTGCTGAATAAAGATGGTCAGTGCACCATGTTGTTGAATTCCGAGAGACTCGGCGGACTGTACGGTCCATGTGATCTCAGTTTGGACCCGGACGGATTTCTGTGGGTCGGTGGATGTAAAGGTAATATCCAGTGTCTCAAGTACAGTTAGTGATTTCTCCCCGTGAAAACTAGATTCTGACGATGATCTACTACATGATCAGTCTAAATTATGACGAGAAATTAAATTCCTTTAATAGTTCAGTGACCAAGTGACATATTGGTGTAACACTCAAATGAAACATAACTGGCAAAATATTCAAAGTTTTACTAAATTTTGACGAGTAATACCACGCTAATATTGGTATTTACCTAGAGCTTTGCAAAATAATGTTATCAGATATGCTGGCGTTACAGTGTCAGGTGTAGTGTGAAGCAGCAGATCTTCTACAATGAGTGATCAAAATGATTCAAGAATGTTGTGAGAATCAGAATGGAAATCCAAATAAAACAAAATCAGTTGTCTATTCTGAAGAAAGGCGATGATCAGAAACCGATTTCTTCTGTACAATAATAAACTAGATATTTATTTCTCTTTCTGATACTTCAGTGTTCTTTTAATTTATAATAAATGATTTGTAGCGGTGAAAAAACAGTGTTTGTGGTTTATAAAAAAAATAAAAATATTACGTTACCATTTGATTAACATTTTAAATGTTTAATTAACTCTCCAGTTTTCTCTGTTTTGCTATATGCATACAAAATATGGGACTACAAATAATAAAGAAAACTTGAAAAAATAGAGTTCTGCAAACGAGTTCTTGGTTTACGAAAAAAAACATGTTTATGGTGGAGAACCGCAGATGCCCTAAAGTTCATTATATCAAATTAAGTGTGGTCAACTTTTGGCACACATTTCTCTCGAGTGAAAATAAGTAATCTAGTCGTATGTGTAAATGATTGTTGTGCTCATGACACGAAACTGGACAACTCTAACTTTAACGGATGAATTAGATTATGTGTAACATAATTTATGTTTGTATGCATCATAAACCCCGTTTGCCTGATAGTACAGCAATTATTAAAAAATAACATGGTGTACTCTTTTTGGTTTATAAGATTGCTCATTCTGCAAACCATACACAGTTCCATTTTACTCTCACCATCATCATCAGCATCAAATGACGGGCTATTAAAATCGCCCGTCGTCCGCCGTTCTTGTTATCTCTGATTCTCAAGAAGTAAACGTGGCAGATCTTTCTCATTCATATACACATAGGTTCCCCATAGTAGAAAACGACCGTTATCTTTTGTACACCTATCGCTGACGTCACATGTAAACTCGTGTTATGTCGATATCACTTGTAAACATACAAACTTACGGCTGACATCACATGTTACCTGGTATATCAGAAAACAGCATCGTTAGTTCATCCACATCCGGGTTCTTATAGATTCGAACACTGACGTCCTTTTTAGCTTCAATAAATAAAAACATAGGAAATAAAGTATTTCAATGTTGATTTATTGAAATATGCAATAAAAGACATTATCACCTACATATATATGTGTGTGTTTGGTTTAGATAGAGAGATCCAAAACATTGTTTTAGTCTCATTGTGGATAAACAAAAACTTAACACCGAGCTAGGACTCCCTTCAGATACGTGTATAAAGAATGAAAACTTGAACTGCAACGCGTTTCCGTAGATCTATATGTACTGCTGAAGTGGAACAGAGGGCCGTGTGAGCTGCCAACCCATATACACAGAATGACTTTCATACCCAGATAACTTTTATCGTCAGGAATAACCTCTGCAGAGTATGGTAAAAATAATCCTGGCCCATTTTGGGAGCCAGATTTACGTTCTGTAAAAACGTCAACATTAGTACCTTCACCTATTGCCGAATTCTAATGAGTTACAATCGTCATCATGTCTCAGCAATTGGCGTGACATCTTCATTATACATTATACGCAGCTGTCTTCCTGTTCCGCATATGCACACTTTACCAGTAAGGTATGCCGAAACAAACACTTTGATGCGGTCAAGATCCTCTAATCTGTAGTTACAGCTACGATACGTCAGTACCATATTTTGGAGGGACGCCGTCAAGCCTGCAATCAAACGCTCATCATTTGCTCTGTCTGTCACTTTCGTCAATGTCTGGAGCAGTTCTTGTGTTGAAAGCGTCATCCGTTTCAAACGTTTAATTATTGACCTTAGCTCCTTTAACAAGCGCTGCCGGTCTTCCTCGAGTTCTTTTTCCATAACATTGTGCGCCAAAAAGAAGCTGGAAAGCTGTGCTCTTTCCATGCATTTTTCTAGTAGATGTAAGGATTCTTAAACACGCCGCGCGCTGTTGACGCTAGCCCATCCTTCCCCGGCAGAGTAACGTATAGACAAATAAAACAGTATGGTTTTGATCCAGTAGGAAGGAATCAAAGGTTCGAGTCTTAATGACTTACTATTATATTTTGCCGGCGTACAGTGTGCAAAGATATACTTGAGACAGCGAAATACTTCTTTGCGTGTACCCTTCGTATCTTTTTCCCATTCCATACGTTCACGTGCGACCTGCGTCACGCGCAGACCAGCGTTTGACCGAACAATTGCGTGAGTCCGATACTTATTTGAGGCCGGGCGCACTAGCTGGTGGTCATCATTTGAATATCGCTCTATCAGCTCCATTGGTATCGCTAGGCAAACATCTATGTTCACTAACAGGTTCCTGTATTCGACTCCATCCCAGAGTAGTGTAAACGTCATAGCTACCGACCCATGCTTCGAATCACGTTTTGTCATTAAATCTAAAAACCTCCACCCAGTACATAGGTTATCACTGAAGATACGTCCGATTTCGTCTCTCACACATCCCCATACTGATCTTAATAAATTCATATCGTCTAAAGATTGGAGTCCTCCTAAAAATGTCTCTGCACAATAAAGACAGATATCGTTTGCCTTTTCCCCGCTCACGTACTTGTCCAACAATAGGAAAAGCTTTTATTTCAGTGACGGTGATCAGGGCCGGCAACTCTATCAAAAAGTCAAATTCGTTGGGTTCATCAATTTTTGTGTCTTCATAAATACTACCAACTTTAAGAATACTTGATCCTTTAAACATTTCATGTTTTGTTTGCATTTCATTCAAAACAGCATCCATTGTTTGTCCAACATCTGAGATTATCGTTGTTCGTTCCACAGACTCTTTGCATCGTGATTGAAGCATCACATCTTGGATAAATGTGTTTAAGCCTGGCGATACCTCCTCCATGACTTTGATATCATCTTGGCTAGGCCCGATGTTGTCTGTACAGGGTGTCGCTCCATTCTTGTCCCTTTGTGTATATAAAGGTTTGGACGTCCATGTCCTAGACGGACATTGGGGCTGGAAAAGGATTGGCGAGGGGAGACAAGGCTCTGTTCTACAAGGGGTGTCTTCAGTACCGTGTGTTGCCTGTTCTGTAACGAACAGTAATGATCTTTCGTGTTTAGATACATCATCTGTGTCAGCCATGTCCGTTCAAATTGCATTACAATCCTCCAAGACACTGAAAGTGTATAAATATGCAAGTATATAACAGAAAGGGAAATATCAATGATGAAACACGTTAAGAGAAATCATCAAGTTACAAAAATATATTATTACACTTCATCTGTACAACAGCGTGTCTGGTTGGTTGTAATATATATCACATGATAGGGAACTCAAACTTCGTGTCTACCTTTCGCACTCCAGTTTCATATTTCCCTTATTCGGAGGTTCTCTTGTAAAACATGCAAGAGACACCACACCTAAGTTCCCAGTATCTGAAGCAGACAACAGAAATGGTGCGTCAACCTGACTATCTTTAATGTTGTTTTATATTAATTTCGATATAACGAATATGTATTGCCCATGTGGCAGGGAAACACGATTATTTGCTCTCGTGAAACAGGATTTATCTCGGGCAAACATAGAATCGTGTTTCCTAACATCAAGGACCATAACTCTGTAATATCAATTAACGATTGGAACGAAATATGAATTAACGATGGTCATTAGCCTATAGGATTTCATCGTGTCACTGTTGGTAGTCAGAGTTAGGGCGTTGAATTAAATGGTTGTCTGTTGGTAGTTATTTGTTTTACATGTAAGATGTCCTTCCATTTGGTGTATAAACTTTAGAAGAACTTACACTGTTTACAACAATCTTTGTACATCTAGAAAACCAATTAAACATGTGCTCACCTCACGTACCAACCATCATTCAAGTTCCCCATCCGTGAATCACACGCGAATGTGAGGAAAATCAACAGGAGCTGCATGCTGGCAGTAAATACACCCTGTGTAGTCCCTATGACGCAGAGGCAAGCTTCACAAGCTGATTACTTTGGGTGTTTTTGCTATACACTCTAGTACAGACACATGTTAGTGTATAAAGTCAGCGTACCTACGTAAATATATGACCCACATCTTGTTACTACGGAAAACATTCTGCACTTACTCATCCTCATTCGCATCCGGATTAATTCTTTTCATTCACTTTCCGGACTCATTCTTGTTCGCTTTCCAAGTCCATTCTTCTCATTCACTTTCCGAACTTATTCTTCTCATTCACCTTTCGGACTAATACTTCTCCCTCGCTTTCCGGACCC